AGAATTTTATATTGATTGAAAAAAAAATTCATAATAATACACAAAGCACCCCTTTTATAATATCGCACACATTGTATTGATTTAAGCTCCTACTTTGCCTCTTATTTTGGCATTTCTACTTTATTTTTCTTTTGTTTTGTCTCTTTTTTTATCAACGAAACTTTTGTAATGCATCTTTATATTTTATGACAGTACCTTATAATTATTGCAAACACCTATTTTCTTTTCATATAATATAAAATATAAAGCAACAATAAAATATTAAAAAAACATGACAAAATATAATGCAATAATATAGATGTGTATGTGCATACTTTGTAATTTTCCGGCCTATATTCATTGAGAATATTGAGGAACAAAGAAAATTTTCACCTCTTATGAAATATCTAGGAAATAATAATAAAATTTTTAAGGATGTTATTCTTTTTATACAGGAATATATTTTTAGTTTTATATGTCTAAAGGGTTAGGACATATTTTCAATTTGTTATTACAAATACTTGTACAATCACAATTACATTCCGTTTAAAAGAATTTTACACAAGATCAAAGAATCAAAGTTTAAAACAACCCAACTAAATAGAAACAAATATTATTCCATTTATTGAGAGTTATGCATGTTGTTTGTTCAGGATGGAACTAATTTTATATTTTGATCTCTTATTTATTCATGTATTTTGATGATAAATTTCGAAACATATAAAATGAAACATAATGAAACTATGATTTACTTCCACAATCTTACTGTTTAGTTCCATAATAAGCAAGTTCGCTCGGTTTACTTAGCCTTAATTTTTCTAAAATTTTGGAAATTAACAAGCAACTACCAAATTCACTACATGCTCCAGTATTACAAAACCTTTTGGAACGTGTGAGCATTGGATCTGATCAGCACAAAAATGCATATAGAAAGAAAACTATCAAATAAGCTATATCTTCTAATATCATGAAAACGATTGAAACCTGTAAACATTGGCATAACTGAAATGGTATAAAAGAACAAAATGTTAAAATGATCTATAGCTATCAAAATTAATATAGGCATCACTGCTGGTACAAACAAAAAAAAGAATTGAACGTGCAAAAAATCAAAATCATCAAAAACATATTATAAAAATCAAATCAAAAATCTTCCTTATTTCTTTCCATTTTCAAATCTTAAAGAATAATTTCACCCTTTTTATTATCCTTTCAATAAAACTACATATTTTATAAAAACAAAAATTCAATTACATTTCAATTTTCCAAAGACTCAAAAAAAAAAACATTTGATTGTAAAATTTAACACTTTCGTAATAATCTGCATTTTGAACAAAATGAATTCAAAATTTTAAAAGGAAACATAAATCATAACGACAAACACAAAAAAAAAACAGGATATTTTTTCTTTTTGTAAAAGGACAATTAAGATTTTAATCGTAAATCTATAAAATTCTACGTTTGTGTGCATTTTATATGTATGGAATAATGTGAAAAGTCAATCAACGTCTTTTATATAGAAAATTTCATAAAAATAAAAATAGGGAATCAAAAAAAAAAAAAAAAAAAAGACTCTTCGCTATCAATGTTGATGATCTTTTATGGCCTTCATTTTTTCCAAGTCTTTTGTTACCTTTTCATATTATATGATTGTTATTAAAGGATAATAACTTATAAAAAAACTTTTCATTATAAAATTGTATTTGAAGAAGACGGAAAAAACACAAAAATTAAAATAGCGCTAAAATTCAAGTATGAAATTTTTAACACATTATAAGAAAAGGGGGAAAAAAAATTGAACATGTAAAGTAATGGTCGAATAATATTGAAAGACAAACTATACACATGGAAAAAAAAATTACCTAAACAAATTTAACACCTTTTTTTCACACGGACTTCTTTATTAAAAGCGTTAAAAATTAAAATGTTAAAAAAATATTCTTGTACACACATTTGAAGAGTAACAAAGGATAAAACTAAAAAGGATTTTATTACATTAAAAATCATAATTATTGATTATTATTTTTTCATTTATTTATTTTATGTTTCGTCTTTGTCCTTAATGAAACAAAATGTCTTTTTTATTTTTTCATCATTTCATAATCGTAATTTTAAGATAAAACTCTATAGGTGGTGGTTTTTTCTTATTAAATTATAAAAAAAAAAAGAGTTGTTTATGCGAAAGAGTTCTTTTTTAAAAGATAAGCTGAAATTGATAAGAATTATTTTGCGTTTTATAATAAAACTAAAAATATTCGTTGTTTACTTATAAAATTATAAGTATATAACAGTTTTGGTAAACATTTTTTGATAAGATTCAAAGAATAATTTATTTTTAGCTGAAAATCTTAAGTAAAAATCATTTTTATTCGAAAATATAATGTGCAAAACATTGACTAAACTAAATGCGTTAAAATCAATTTGAAAAATTGATGTAGACTTACAGTTTGTGTAACTTCCAGAAGTTTTGTTTCAGACTTACAGATTAGAGATTCTGGCATGTAACTAAAGTAGTAAAGAGTTTAATTTGAATGTAATAGAATATCTTTATTTTTTGAGATACTACGAAATTCTTTTTAAAAATTGTGTGGCAATATTGTATTGGATGTTAAATTTCACCCTTAATATAGAATTCGGGTTATTACTATTTTAAGTTATCTATATATTATATATATGTAGATAATAAAAAAGAAATATCTTATTTCTCTGTGGGACAAATGAGCGAACAAAATTAATTAAATCAAATAAAAATCTAACCATATAAACAAAACATATTATAACTAACCCTATACATATGCATATCATACATAAATGCATTTCTAAATTTTCCGACTTATAAGAAAATAAAATTGTGACATACACATTTCTAACATCATTAATCTCTGTTATTAAAAATATACTTAAATATCTACGTACGTATTAAATACATATACATGTATGTATACCTCCTCACAGTTTAAAATTTTTAGAGCTTCCCCATAGCGCATTACTGTTGAAAATTTAGATTTAAACTGCAAAACTTCTTTGTTTTATCTATATTAAATTCCTCCAAATCCAAAAACTTTCATTATTCATATGCAACTATTATTTGGCATCAATTTTAAATAAACGCAATAAAATGCAGATTGCATTTTTGATAAAAGTTTGAATTATCTTTGTTGAATTTCCTCGTATTTTTCAAATGATATTAGTTATTAATTTTCCTTTGGCTGGCATCTTTATGAGATATAGAAAACTTCTATTTTAATTTGATGACAAAGTTTTCCATTAATTTGCTTCCAAATTAAAATTTATGTATAGGTTTATGTAACTACATTCGTCTCTTACAATGGAAATACAAGTTGGTTCTGAAAATTAATTACAAAATCCCTGGTACATTTCAAATATAGTCTGCTATATGTAAGTTTAATTTTAAAATCTAAAAAAAAAAATTAAGAAAAAAATTTTGTGTTAGAAATATTTTAAATTTTTTTTTTATAAGAAATGATTTTGATTGTTAATGAAAATTTTATATGAAAAATTTTTTTTTTTCGAAAATTGACTTCGTAAAAAAAAATTTACAGGCCATTTTCATATTGAATTGTGTTTTTAATTAATTAGTTGTAAGATCCCGAAATGTTAGTTCCGTATTTCATCGCTCATCACGCAAAGTAAAAATCATTGTTCATCACGCAAACGAAAAAATTTGTAGCATTTTTAGCCTAGTGTCGTAAAAATTTAGCCTAGTGTCGTAACGAATTGTAATGCACCTACACCTGTAAGCAAGAATAAAAATTATTTATTATTACGTTTGTTTGTATGTAAAATTTAAACTGATCTTAACTGAGCAAAAACAAAATTTAAAAAAATAAAATGTGGACGTGAAAACCTTTGGCAACTACTTCTTTGGCCAATTTTGCAGCCAACAACAAAACTCAATATTAAATTGACCATGTGTATTTTATTTTTTGTAATTAGCACAAATTTAAATTTTCATTTCCAAATTGGAAACATACTTAACCCATATAATTACAAAGAAAATTTAAAGAATAGTGAGTACAGTTGATAAAACCAGGTTCTATAACACTCAAAATCACTTATCTCTCAAAAATCGTTCCATAACTATTGTGATTGACAAAAAAAAAAAAAACAAAATACTGTTATAATAATCCGGAAGTTTATTAACTTAAATTTGAAAAATTTAAACAAAAAAAAAATAGCATATTTTAACCACCCTTTACAGCAATTTTATTCTATATATAATGAAATATGCGGTATATACAAGCTTAAACATTACAAACAGTAATAAATCAAACACTAGAAGGACAATGTACATTTAAGTATAATAGTCACTTCACTTCACATAAAACAAAACAAATTCTCTCACGCTTTACTCAATTCTAAAGGACCTATTACTACATATCGTATATTTGTCAACCTATAAATATTTTATGTTTTTTATATTTCTGAATCTAAATTCTATATTTACTATTTATAAATTCTGTACACTTATATTTAAAATTTCGTAAAAAAATGAACTGGTACTCATATTAAAAGTAAAAAAAAAAAATATCTGCTTATAGTTATTTACTTGCTTTTATATTTTTCATTTCTTAATAAAAAATTATTATTATCCTTAAATTACCACAAAAATTTCCTCCTTTTTTTCCACCCATCATTATTATCATCATTTAACTAATACATCTTCCACACTACTGACACTTAATTAAATATCGAATCAAAAGTTTAATACAAGCTATATTCTTTGAATGTGTGAATGAGAAAGGAATAATAATTTTTCAAAACAAGAAAAAAACATTCATTTCCTTTTAGAGTTTTGCCCTCTATTATCATTTCTTGTCATCATTTTAATGTTTTAAAATCAAAATGTACTCGCTAACAGTATAAAAATAAATCTCAAATTTTTTTTGCTAAATTTCTTTTTTTTAAATAAAAATCAAAAAAAAAGGAAAAGCATACGTTAATTTTCCACCCTTCATTTATCAATTCGATTGTCCTATGTAATAACTGACATTTTTAACATGACTGGTAAGTGAGTGAGGGGTTATTAGAAACTATCATCAATATAGACAGAAACAATAAGTTTTTATTGTTTTCGTTCTATTTTTTTTTTTAGTCTCTCATTGTACGACAACAGCACAGAATTTGAATCATCATCAATAAAGTTACTCTTTATAAATTTTATTTGTACAATTATAATCGATAAAATACAGTAAACCTTAAAATAAATGCGTGATGTAATAAAACATTAAAAGAAATTTGATTTAAGCACTTTCCCTAAATACACACGAAATTTGGTTGTTAATAAAATAATTTGTTCATTTAGTTAGATATACGAGTATTTAAATAAATTCAAAATTTGAATGCGGCAACCGCAATTTACAGAGTTTTTTAGACCTTACGATCGAAAAGAATGAGATATACGAGTATTTTTAAATATATTTAAAAAATAATCTGAAATACCAACATGAAAAACCATAATAGCAAAAAAGCTCCCTATAATTGGATAAGTGTAAATTCAAATTTCAACTTTAGAAATTTCGAACATGAAACACTGATTGAATACAAATCATGTTTGCTCAAATTTTCGTTGATCCAAAACAATTTCAATAAAAAATTACGCCATGTTAAAAGACGGTTTACTGTACATTGATCTTGTGCTTATTTACAGTTTTAATTCACTGTTATTTTCCCATTTTGTTTAATTTTTTTTTTTTTGCCTTCATAAAGGCAATACGACACTTTGTTGTCAAATAATGTTATTGATGTTTTTAAAATATAAGTACACAATAAAAAAAAAAAAAGAGTAAAAATAAAGAAAAAAAAACACCCTCAAACAAATCAGAAAAAAATATTATAATCTCATATTCCATAGAGTTTATTTAACGGAATCATTAACGAAATTATATATACATAGGTGTACTTTTTTTATTTTTTACAATAAAAATTCAAATTGTCAAGTATTATTGCTGTAAGGCTTGACTCAATTGTTTCCAATTGTAACATTTTACTGTCGCATTTTGTGCTTATTTTATTTCTAGATGATTTTAAAGCACTTATCTTTTTCAATATGTGCATTTGACTGTATGTGTAAATTTGCTATTTTCATTTTGCATTCAAATGTATTTTAAGCATAAGACAAATTTAATAGACTAAGCAGATTCCTTTCCGTAGCAATATAGGATGGAAAGGTAAGCTATGTCAATCTACTAACTACTTCCTTCATATGTAAAATAAAATAATTAATATTTTATTAATGTTGATGACTTATTAATTACAAGAGAAATTACCAAAGAGACTTGTTATATTCGCGACATTTTATATAGTTTTATTTATATTATAAACTTTAAGCCATGAATAAACTCTTTGATCTGTTATAGTCTTCCTAAAATTGAAAGGTTTTATGGTAAGAGGGATAATATGCTAAGAATAATAAGTAAAAAAAACAATGAAATTCACTTAATTTTCACCAAATGACAGTTTTTTGACATTATATTTTCTATTGCTCTTGTTTGTTCCACTGTCATTTGTACTCTATTTTAACCATTTTTATGTAAACAATATGAACATTTTACAAAATCTTGTAAAATGTACTTCGGTTTTTTGCTAATGAGAGAATTATTATAAAACTAATCATATATATACATAAGTGCTTTACTAATTGACATTGACAGTAATGTTAATAAAATTATAGAAAAATTAAATTCATTTAATAAGTTCATTAAATCAATTAATCAACTTCAAGACCGAATAATACTTTTATATTTAAATTTTAATTCACATCCTCGCTACATACATTTAACTACACAATACACTCCAAATATACACAAATTGCACATTTAAAAAAAAAATTAAATAAAGTGAAATTTTATACTTTTATAAACCTTTTGTAAAACATAAATATTAAATATCCTTTTTTTTTTCTCATAATGTCCTAATAATAGCGCAATAAGAAGAAAAATAAAATATAAAAATACAAATTAACTTATATCCTTTGTGTATATATTTGTTTTATGTTTAACCGTTACAAATTTAATTCAAATTACTACACTGCTTTAGCACGTTAAAGGAGAAGGAGTCAGAAAATAATTAAATGAATATTACAACAATATTTTTGATCAACTTAAATTGTTGTAGTTGTGGCCTGAACTTTCATTCTATAACAAATTAAATATGTAAATACTTGTACATTATATAGATTAACTGTAAATAAATACGTCCACACACTCTATATACTAAAATGATATTATTTTCTTGTTTATTTGCACAATAAAAAATAAAAAATAAAATCAAGGATTACAAAAGGAAGAAATTTTTTTTGTTGTTATTTTTATTCTTGTTTAAATACTTAATTTTATACCACACAGACTCAAAGGATTTTTTTTTTTATTTTATTTTTGTCATGGTTATACAAAAGGCCATCTTTAATTTCAGACTTCTGTTGCATTCTCTATTTTATATTCCTATATACATTTCTTACGTTATTTATCGTCAATATAAGCAAGTCCCTATATCTAACTGAATTTTTATAAAATTTTATTTATAACATAATAAAAATACAATATTCATGATGAGCATGAGACTTTATAAATAACAGCTCTTTTATGGATAATATCAGGTTTCATTAGAAAACAAAAAAAAAAAATTGATAAAATAATTTGCTTTTTGCTCTTCTACATGCTCATCTCATTATCTTCAAAATAATTCCTGGAATGATGAGATGAGATTATAAAACAATTTTTTTTTATTGAAAATTTCCTTTCAAATTTAACGCAAATATTTAATTTCTTTTCATGTAATTTTCATAATTTTTATAATAATAAAAATAATTGTAGAAGGAAGAAGAAAATATCCTTTTAAAATGTAATTCCGTTAGACTGCAATTCCATGTACAAATTTAATTATATAATAAAAGGTGACTTTTTTCAAAGTTCACTGCACAATATCTTATTATCCTTTAAAGGGACGAGGAATCAATAAGTATTTCTCATTCTCTTGTGATTCAGATTCTTGTTTACATGCAATCTGCTGATACTCACATAGCCGCTCTAAACCTTCTTCACTCTTTTCAAGCAAAATATGGAGGGAAACTAAAAACCTCGAATTTGGATCGCCTATACTGTACAATTAATTAAGCCAAAAGTAATTTCTAACATTATGCTTAAACTAAATATTTCTAATTTATTCTTTAAACAAAAACATAAGAAGAAAGAAATTTTGCTACTACAGAATAAAGATAACGCTTAATTAATAAATTATTTTCAATTAAAAATCATACAAATTAAAGTGGCTAATTCTTAGTCAAAAACAAAACATGGAAAATATTCAATTTTATGATAAAATTTTAAAATAAAAATAGACCCAAAGGAATGAATTTTTAATTCATTCTGACTAAAAAAAAATATTAAAATTCAAGGCTGCAATTACCATTTGGGTATTTTTAATTTAAACAAATACACAATCTTAGATCCTTTAATTTAAAAATTTCTTATTTTTCTTTTCAGATAAGTGCACACTTATTCTGATAAAATAGACAAGATGTCAAACCTCTTTTCTGGGGTTAACCGCAAATTATACCTTTCCAAGGATGTTTATTTACAAGTATGGTCATACTATAAGAAGATATTTAAAAGACCTTTAGAAAAGGAATAAAAGGAACAAGACAAAATTTTATATTTTGCCTTTTTACCTTATTTTAAATAAATTATAATTTTTTCTTTTTAGATTTTTGGGAACTTAAAATATTCTTTTACATTTTCTGAAAATTTTGTTTCGTAACCTTTGAATGTCTACTAATAAAAGCCACAAAAATAAACGTGTGTAATCAAGGTAATGTTAAGCTATGTATGTATATGTATACCAGTAGGTATGTAAGAATAATAAGTAAATCATAAAATCATATTGTCATGATAATGATATTATAATAAAGTCTTCTTTTATTCCCTTAAAAATGATAGTCTTTATTTAATTGTAGCTACCGATTTTCTACCAGAAAATCCAACAAAAAGACATGTGTTTTAAGGCTACCCTCTAGTATTTGAATTTTATGAAAGCAATTGATAGCAGAATAATTTTTTGATTTTATATTATAGAAAAATATAAAGATAAAGAAAAGATTATAGAAAGTTAAACGCGTGCTAAAAATATAGGTGAAATTTACTCACATAAGCACACGGATACAACATGTTATGTACATGTATGTAAGTGTAAATGAGAGGGGGTACACTTCATTAATAATGTAATTTATTATCCTCCTTTACATTATCTATCTCTATTTATTATAATATAATACATGAGTGCAGAATGATTCCTTTGCAATTTTACATTTATAATGCACCAACGAATGTGCATACATATATGTATTTTATGAAAAGTCATCAATATTTAATTACAATACTTTTATAAAATTAAAATTGACAACTATAAAAAATCAATTCAAAACCCCCTTAACACCTTTTCAAAAATGTCAAAATGATTCGATTCTTTCAAAAAAAAAGAGGTTCGTTCTTTTCTTTGCATATTGTTTGTCAATTTTTTTGTTTTGTTACACTACTGGTATTGTTGTTATCTTATGTCACAAATTATTGATTGATGTGTCAAAGTTTACATCAATATACTTTATGTTATATTAGAGTGGGTCATTTATTTTTAATATAAGAGTCAACACAGAGTTATTTTTAAAATAGGAGACCGCATATGGAACCCTAAGTTTTATAGGAATATTCAAAGCAGAAGAGTTAAGTAATTACTTTAAAAACCTCTTACATTTATTGTAAAATCAAGTACATTACAACATTTCTATTAAATATTAAAATAATTATGTTTTCTATTGTAAAATTTGATTTGCTAATTCAATATGGACAAAATATTTTAACTCTTCGTGTAAAGATGCATTGAAAATTAATTTTATGTTTGTATGTATTACTGTATTATATTTGTTTTACTATCTACTAACTATTTTTCATTTAATTGAATTGATAAATTTTGTAGTTAGAAGACTGAAATCAAAAAGTTTTGTGTAAACAAAA